GGAGGGCCCTGCTACCGCTGTCTCTTCCCCAAGCCCCCTCCGCCAGAGACGGTGACTAACTGTGCGGATGGTGGAGTGCTGGGTGTCGTGCCGGGCATCGTGGGCTGCATCCAGGCCTTGGAGGTGCTGAAGATCGCTTCGGGAATGGGCTCCTCCTTCGGTCAGTTCATGCTGATGTTTGATGCTCGTGAAGGGAGATTTCGCAACATCAAGTTAAGACCGAAGAAACCAGACTGTGCTGTTTGTGGCGACCATCCGTCTGTCACCTGCCTGCAGGATTATGAGGCGTTTTGTGGTTCTTCTGCAACAGACAAGTGCAGGACTTTGCATCTGCTGTCCAGCAAAGACAGGGTGTCTGTAGAGGAATACAAAAAACTGCTGGATGAGCAAGTTCCTCATGTACTGTTAGATGTTCGTCCGCAGGTAGAAGTGGATATCTGTCGCCTGGTACATGCCGTCCACATCCCTTTGAGTAAATTAGAAGAAAAAGATGAAGAATATCTGGAATATTTAGGAAAAAAAATTCGTGAAGAAAAGCAGAGAACTAAAGACCAAACGTCTTTTCCTGTGTATGTGGTCTGCAAATTAGGAAACGACTCCCAGAAGGCTGTAAGAATTCTGCAGGAGTTACCTGTCAAAGAATTTGGTTCTGTGTTAGCTAAGGATATCAAAGGGGGGCTCATGGCTTGGGCCAGTAAAATTGACCCAACGTTTCCTCAGTATTAGAAATGTTAATGGTGGAAAAAAATAACAAATTTTCGTAGTAAATTCTGTAGGATTTCATCTTCTCTGTGTAATGACTATATCGTGGATAAAACAATAGATAAAAATAACATGTTACTTTTTTTTTTTTCCAAAAATATGTATTTTTGTAGTGTCTGATTATTTTTATAAAAATGTGAAACTATCCATGGAAATTGAAAGAAATGTGTTTCTTGGTTATTGTTTAACAGTGAAAACTTGAAATTCAACTATTTAATTGTGCATGTGATAATTGCGAATGACAAATCACAGGAATGAAGTGTTGAAAGTTTTCACTCGTTCTCCTAACTGCCTAACAAGTTGAAACAGTGCATGCAGAGATTAAAAAAAACCCTAACTGTTAATCTCTAGCTGTTGGGTAGCACTATCATAGGGAATTGCCAAGACAGTATTGACAGGACTGTTCTGGTCAACATCTTTTAATTCTCTGTAGAAGCATCATGTATTTATGAAAGAGAAGTGCTTACTACAAGTAACAGCACCCCACAGCAAGGGTGTTCTGTTAAGAACTTCCAGGGCCATCCATCCTCGTTTGTTGGCTGGCGACAAAGTGTATTCTTTGACTTGTATAGGGAAACTGAGGTTAAAGGTTAATAAAAAATAAGTTTGAGTCCAGAGACTTTGTAAAACATACAGAAAATGCTTTTGTGAGGGCTTAGAAGGTTTCAGAGATTGAGATATGAATAGGTGAGAGAGAAAAGAGAGATGTGTGGCCTCCCTTCTGCAAGGACAAAGACATATTTAATAAATTTTCTCCCCGTTTCTTGTGGGAGTTGCATATCCCCAGTAGTACTGCATTATTTTGTTAACTGGCATAAAGAGCTACATGTATCTAAAAAGTTCTTGTAGATGAACTGAATGAAAAGAGAAATAAATAGCTTCTCAACAGAGAGCTGCCTGAGTCCTCATCACTTAAGCATTGTAATTATCTTCTTGGTATATTAATTAAGGTATGGATTTCCTTTACTTTCTGAGGAGAAAAAAACGCCTGTCATGACTAATCTTCACATTATACGAGGGGAAAAAATAAAAATCATTATAATTAGTAGTTGAAAAGGCATGTTTTAGTAAAATAAATTTGAGAACATCCACACCGCCTACTTTCTTGTAATGTGCCGTGAGTTCTAGCAATAAGAATCTTAGTCTCTTGCAAAGGAAACGGTTACGTGAGTTTGTAAGAACAGAATCATCTCTCTTGCAATGTAGAGGACAATGAAAACATCGAACACTGTGGCTTAAAGTGAGTGTTTGTGCTTTGTGGTGGGTCATGAGACAGTTGTAAGTCAAGACCTTTCAAGACAGGTTGTGGAGACTCGGTTTAGTCAGAACATCAGGCTTCTGGTGGGTTTCAGCTTTTGGGAACTGGAAACCAGAGGGATTTGCTTGAAATGTCTGACATATGTTTTCATTTTTCTTTCTTTACTGTGATGTCAAGAAGATGCTGAAATATGTAAGGTAACAGCAGCAGTTGTTCCCTAATATACAGCCTTCTGTTGCTGAGGAACAGGTGCTATGTCACCTGTCCACTCGACCTGAAAAAGTGATTCCTTTTCAGTCATTCAGAGCAAGGGGAACCTATGGATGTGGGGAGAGTGGAAGGACTTTTTGATTCTAAATCTGAGTGCTGCTTCCAGTGTGGAAAGTCTTTTCCCTTGTTACGACGTTTTAGCAGCAGATGTCCACAAACTGTGAAAGAAAAACGAGGTGGCATTAAAGCCCGTGGTGTTTGATGGAAGATTTTTTGTAGCACGTTTTCAAGCAGGAAACCAGACTGTGAGTCTTTGTGCTGTACAGAAAGCAATTAACACCTCAAGGATCTGGAGAACTCTGGAAAAACAGTGGTAAGGATAAATGAAAATGGACCAAAACCATAGAATGGTATCACAACTGGCAAAAAAAGTCAATGCACCAAGTCAGTCTGATGAGAGTCAAACTTTCAAGGATCTTTTCTATTAAAATGGCTTTCTGGAAAGACCGTTCATGCCAATCTGCAGGGACTAAGGTCCAAAGTTCTTACAGGAGTACAGCATCTGAAATGCATCCGTTGTTTTTGCATAAAGACAGTTCTATGAATTGGGCTGTACAATATAGAGGAGGTTATTCTGGAGAGAACAAGTGGCTCGGTTCTGATCTCAAGGGAGTATGCAAAATGTAGGTTTCTTTGGGGGGAAAAAAAAGTGTTCTCTTCCTTGACTTAGGATAGCAATTAAATTCTCAGCAAGGATGAAAACATCAGCCATGCATCTTGGATAAAGATGGAGTCTGTACTGCTTGTCAAAATTTAATTCTTTACATGCGGAGGCATTTTATTTTATTTTATTTTATTTTA